TGACATTTAAAGTCCAAAAAGGAGTGATCACAGTTGTATAAGGGGTGATTTCTCACCTGAAGTCTGATATCAATAGATTCTGTAGGTTAGGGATGCAATGGTCTGTTTGGTTTGATGTTTTGATAATTAGGGGGCAGAGGATAGTATGTAGGGCCTAATTCCCTGTGCAGATACTTCTGTTTCAGAAGTACGTATTTTGTCATGTATGAGCAAGAAATGTGGGCGGCTCCTGGTTTTAAGTTTGCTATACTTTTTTCTTCATGTTTGTTTTAAGCTCAGGTAAAACCTATGACTCCATTTTCCATTCAGGGTATGATGTTATTCGGTAATTGATTTTCTTTGTAATCTGGGCAATAAATTGATGTTTCCAGGTGGTAGCATGGAGGAGGGATATGTATGATAAAGTTTAGGAAGTTCTACTCTAAAAATGTTTTAGTAGCTCAGCAGATATAAGGCGAGGTTTAACAGTTTTCATGGAAGTTCCACATTGACCGCTCAAGGGGAAAATGGGCCCTTGTTCTAGTGGTTGTGAACAAAGAAGGCTATAAATCGATGTGCAACTTATAACATTCCAGAGCTTAAAAATAGCTGATGTAGGTGTACTTCCTCAGTGAGATTTTTCAGATAAACCTTTTACCTTTGGCTTAGTTTTACTACTGTCAGCAAAATGTACTGTGGTGTGCATGTTGCAGGTAGGCTTCCTGATCCTGTAGTTTGCTACAATTTCTGGCAACTCCTTGTAATTCGAATGGCTTTGATAAGTGAACATCTGTGTTGAATGGAATTTGTGACCTGAAAGATCTAGTGGTCTCCCAGGGAAGGCAGGGTGGATTCAGGACTATGAAGTCCAGTATGTAAGGCACAAACAGTACGAGGTACGCGACCGCGTCAGGTGCTGGTTCCTTCTGTTCAAAATAACATCTACTTTAAAAGGAGGTGTGGTAAGAGCCTTGCACCTTTCACTAGAATTACGGGTTTGAGTTCACTAAGGTCACCTACCTACCTTTGTTAAAGTCACTTTGAGTAGATTAATGGCAGGGGAGCATATTTAGTCCCTAGTAACAGTTTTTAGAAGTCCACTTTATAAGCTTGCTAGCGTGCACTCATAACCTTTGGAGGGAAGCCAGGACCGCTGGGGCCTGTGGCTTAGTTTAGTTGCTGTATGTGACTGGTGCACCGGGAGGTGGATGAGCGTGGCATTCATGACAAGAAAAGCATTACCCAAGGGACAGGGTCAGGTAGTCCCTCATCCTTCTAGCTTGCGCTTGGTGATGGAGGCTTTCCTCTTCCTCTCTCTGGAAGCACTGAGGACAGTAACAGGGCTTTTGCCTTTTTAACCCTTTCCTTGTTCAGCCAACTTTCCCTTTTGTTCAGTGCTTCCTCCTAAGTGCCCCCCTCTCCTGCCCATTGGCTGTTTGACAGGAATAGTTACGTTGTGGGTTGACACTACTCACACACACACTCACACTCACACATGCACACACACACACGCGCGTGCACACACACACACATCCATGCTGCTCACCATTTCCAGGTCCTCTACTTCAGGGCAACCCATTCTCCTCTGGCCTCATAAATACAAAGACCGACAGCTTTGGCCAGTAATGTCGCGAGGTCTTCACAAACGGTTACTTCTACGTGCACGGAGGAACTCTGTCAGGTTCTGCAGACTGCTATTTAAAAAGGCAGAGTCTTCAAGAGTATTTATTTTTACTGGCAGATGAACTTTACCCAAAGTGGGAGTCAGCATTGCTCAGAGGCTTGGTTTGTAAAAAGTAGCTGGAAAAAAAGTGTAATAGAGATAATTTGACACTCCTGCTGGCAGTAGTTCTCCATTCAGCATTTAAAAACCCATTCAGGTTATATCTTCCTTAAAAAATGGTTCATATGTTTACATGAAATGATAAGTTGCATTAGATGGTCTGTTTTAAGGATTTCCATGACAGCCTCTTTTCCTGAGACAGAGAGATTGGAGGTAGTCCACCCGCTCAATGTGGAAGCAAACGGGGGTTCTTTTCTTGGTAGCTAAAGAAGCCATGTACTTACTGTATAGTGTTTTTCTCAAGAGTATCAACTCACGTTCTTCAGATGCTTTTCTTTTTTTATAATGGTGAGGGAAGAGGTATAATTTGGGATTCCACAGTGCCTTGCATATAGTAGGCGCCCAATAAATATTTGTTGAAGCAAACCAAGTTTCCCAAGTCCTTGTCTCTTGCAGTGACCAAGAACATCTTTCTCCTCCGAAGGGCTTGGCAGTTGTGGCTAAAAGATAAGCAGTATCATTATTTGCTTGAAACCATATATACAATTTGTATGAATTTCAATATGTTGCCAAGACATAACCTTTTTCTTATTGTATTTTCTGTAAATATTTCTGGCTCTGAACTGTAAAGTAAAGGCGAAATGTAAATATGAAGGCGCCGTGTCCCTTGCCTCCTGTGTTTTCTCTTCGTTGGTTAGGGAAGAAGGCCCAGAGGCTTGTTTGTATTTATGCTGATCCTTTGTCCAGAAGAAACCCATGGGATATTGAATGTAATACATTTAGTCAATTAAATTTTAAGGAGATTCTTATCTACTAACGTCGTGTGTGCTTTTGGTCCTAGGCCGGGGTTTGACTCCTATGTGGGTGTTCTAACTTACTCTTTCCAATGTTAGATCTGGGAGGTTTCCTCCTGGTTTGGGGGAGTCTCATCAAGTACTCAGACTTGGTCAAAGTATTTGGCTTCTGCACTGGAAGGAACTTGTGTAATGAAGTCCCTGCCAGCAGAGGCCACATCCCAGGAGTAGCAGTCCCGAGACACACGGAACACACTGTGCTCTCTGCCCACAGAGGACTGAGCTCTGCCAAGCTGGCCAGTCAGGAAAGTGGGGGAGGTTTGGCTGCAGAGGGTTCCATGGGGCCAGATTAGCATCTTAATGCCTAGATGACACATGGGTGGTCATGCTGCCCGAAGTGGAGATGGGTGCCTTTGCCTAGAGCTGCCCCCTCCAGCCTGGCACTGATTCCATGTGAAGTTAGTGTGCGGTTCCTGGACTGTGCCAGGGAGCCACCTCCCTGCAGTTGTGTCCACACCTGCCCACCCCAGGACCTCCAGCCAGCCCTGGGGGCCTAGGAGGCTTCTCTCTGGGCTGGCTGCACAGTGGCCCTGTTTTGGGATCTGACAAGAAAATGTGTGTTTGAGCCTTTTTCACCTGGCTGTCCTGCTCTCTCTGACCCCAGGCCCTTCAGGACCCAGTGCCAAGATATCACTCCCAACCCAGCCCACCTAGTATCTGGTCTTGAACTCTGGGTCTTGAGTGGCACAGTCCATCAAGGCACTGCTTCTTGGACACACATTTTAATACCATCTGCCCAGACTTCCCCTGAGGACTCTGGTTGTCCCACATCTGGGCTAAGGCTCCCTTTAAACACACTGGCCCTCCAAGCCCCAGCTCTCCCCACTCTTCCCTCCTCTCTAGCTATCTAGCTATCTATTTAATTAAGTAATCCTCACCTGAGGACATGTTTAGAGGAAGCGGGGAGAGAGAGAGAAACATCGATGTGAGAGAGAAACGTCGATGAGTAGTACATGCCCTAACCAAGGATGGAACCGACAGCCCAGGTATGTGCCCTGACACGGAATCGAACTGGCAACCTTTTGGTGCACAGGACAATTCTCAACCAACCGAGCCACTCTGGCCGGGCTCCCCTCCCTTATTTGTCTTGTGGCTGGCCCTCTTGCCCTTCTCCCTAGGCTGGTGGCTTCCTAGAAGCGGGGTCCTTTCAACCCATGACTCCTTCTACGTCTACCACCCACTTTGTGCAGCTGCTCCCCCAGCCTGGAACTGGGTCTGCCCAGCTTTCCAACCTGTGGTCCGTGAAATGCTGTGGTCTCGAAATCAAGTCTGCAGCAGAATGGTTGCCCATTATTGTGTTGAGTCCCAAGCCTCAGCCCCTGGAGGTTCTGACTTAGTAGAACAGGGTGAACATGGGAATCAGTGTGTTTCCCAAGTATCCTGCACCCCCCACCCACTTGCTGGCAGTCACAGGCAGGTGGTCCAAGGACCCTCTTAGAGAACACAGTGCTGCTGCCTCCCTCCCACACAGCAGCCACTTGTGTTGACGTCCTGCACCCACCAGGCTCCAGCTCAGGGACTGTCAGGCTCTGCGAGTTCCTGGGCCTCCTGCCCCAGGGCCTGGCATGTGGAGGTTCACTTCATGAATGAATGAGTGAATGAGGCGGGTGGGAGGAGGTAAGAATGGCATTTGAGAGTATTCTGCCCACTTGGGAGATGAAGGAACAAGGTTAAAGCCTTAAAGCTCCTCACTGAACTCCCTAATAAGGAGAGGCGCCAAAGCTTCCTGATTAAGAATCATTTACGGAGGGCCTACTATTTGTTAGAAAGTTTTTAAGTGTCAGCCCGGTGACCCAATCTGGCCCACCAGACTTGTTTTGTTTAGCCAACAGTATTTTAATGTTTGATTCAGTATTTTTAAATTGGCAGATTTCACATAAAAACTCCGATGTTTTGGCTGTCTTGGAAGTCAGAAGAGCTGGCTGTACTGGACCTGCACTTCCCACACATCAGTTCCTGGGACAGCTGTCTGCTTTATAGGCTCTACGCTCCATCCGGTTTGCAGTCCCTACCACTCCCACAAAGTGTAAGTGTGGGCACATGGAGCCTGAATTTTGGGACCAGGGACCTAGCTGGCTCCTAGAGGATTCTGTGACCTCCAATATATGAACACCCACCTGCGGGCAGTGCTTATCCCAGCATTTGCTTTTCTAACTTTTAGCAGCTTGGTGAGGAATGAATTATTCCCATCCTACAAGAGGATCCTGGAGGTGGCACATGAACCCCACAGCAACTTAGCAGGGAATCAAACCCAGGCCTGCCCGGGCTTACTCTCACTGCCCCGGCTCCTGACCATTCATCCAAATAGCTCTCCCTTCCCTGAAGGACATTGTAACTTCCTTGTTGCGTCACCAGCTCAGTCACAATTGGTTTGAGAGCAGAGTGTGGCCCAGCCTACCAGATCCCCAGGGCAGCCCTGCCAGCCCAGCTCAGGCTGGCCCGGCTTGGCCTCACACGCACCATGAAGTACCCTCTGGTGCCGCTGGTGAACGACCTCACGTTCTCTTTCCTGGTGTTCTGGCTCGGCCTGCCTGTGGCCTTGCTGTTGTTCTTGTTGATCGTCTGGTTTCGCTTCTTACTTAGCCAAGGTGAGCCACCCAGGCTGGGCCCTAATCCTGGAGCTGGGCAGGGGTCTGGAAACCACTGCGGAGAGAGGAGCTTCTTTGGGGGCATTTTCACTGCTGGCTCAGAGCCAACAAGTGGTCACCTGAAAAAGAAAACGATTAATTTGGTAGTTTAGTTTCTTAGAGTGCAAGGGTGAATCCCTGAGTTCGGCCGGGAAGCAGTATGTGTGTGTGTGTCTGTGTCCTCTCAGGGCCACGGCTGGCATGTAAGGTCTTTGGTGCTAGCCATGGCCCTCGGAAAGTGGTGACCCCTCTGGGCAGATGAATTAGTAGAAGGTGTCCCTTCCTGTGAGTGCAGCCAGGACATAGGCTCTGAGAGCAGAGTGTAGGCTGGGTTTCAGTCCCTCTCACCCTTCAGCTCAGTGCTCTTGTGCAGTACACTGCACAGTGGGAGGTGGCAGCCTTAGGCATTTATCAGGGGCCAGTGACCACCCACCCTTTTCCCCTGGACCATACATCAGGGAGGACCCAGTTTCTCTGGGACATAGGGTCCTGAGCTCAGCGTGCTGGGGTGGAACTGTCCCCTGGAAGCTGGGGGTGGGCAGGGATGCAGCTTGGCCACGTGGCAGGAATGACACCCTGCCCGTCCTGTCTCCATGGGCTCTTCCTCGGGACAGCTTGACCTCTCACCTCCTGCTCCTCAGCCCCATGAACTTTGGCCAACTGGGCAAGCAGGGAGGGCACTGAGTGTGCTGTCACCTCTGGTCAGATGGCATTGAGACGGGGTGAGCAGTTCACCCCCTAAACTACCCCATGATTTCAAATGTGGGGGTCATGGTGTAAATATTGGGAGCTCCTGGTGAGAGCTTTTAGAGAATGATCTCCTCATTCCCAGGATACACATACACCACGGCCCTCGGGCATCGGGCAGTGGCTGGTGGAGTCAGCATATGTGTCTGTATAATGGCTATAACAGCCGTCGGTCTGGAGTCTAGGGGATGTGGGCCCAGATTCCAGCTTTGCCCCTCAACAGTTCATAATGACAGCTGAGCTTTTCTGAACCTGTTCACTAGGACTTGTGCTCAGTACCTGATGCGTAATGTTTCATTTGGCCCCAGAATAACCCTGGGAAGTAGTCCTTACTGTACGACTGAGGAAACTGAGGCTTGAGAGAGAAGCCACCTGCCCGAGGTCACACACCGAGGGAGTAGTTAAGACTCTGGCACCTCCCAGCTGTGTAGCCCTGGACAAGCCCTCCCCGAGCCTTGGTTTTCTCATACAAAATGGAGATAATAATGGTCCCTGCCCTTTTGGAGAGGTGCACAGCAAGGGCGTGGCACACAGCACAGGTACACATAGTAGGTGCTTACAGGCTGAGAAATGATCTAGTCCATATTGGTTTTGTCAGGGTAGGAGGAAGAATAGCAGTGGCTTTGAGTGGCATCTCTGGAAGGGGAAGGGACATCTTCCCTGAGGTCTAAGGCTCTGATTTCCTCCAATTCATTCTCCTTGGAGGCCCTGCTTGAAAGCTACTTGCACCTGCCCTGCCCCACCCCTTCTCACCTTTCTCCTGAGAGGCAGTTTACCTGCTGACATCTCACTGAAACAACCAATAAATAAATTTTTTGTTAATTTTTTTGGATAATCCTCACCAGAGGGTATTTTTTTCATTGAGTCTTAGAGTGGAAGGGAGGAGGGAGAGGGAGAGAGAGAGAAACATTTGTGAAAGAGAGAGACATCAATTGGTTGCCTCCCAAACGTGCCCCAACCAGGATTGAACGTGCAACCCAGGTACATGCCCTTGACTGGGAATCGAACCTGCAGCCCTTCAGTGCACGAGCCAACACTCTAATCACTGAGCCATGCCGGCCAGGGTTCTTTTGTTATTTTTGCCATGAACAGAAACTGTCCTTAAAGTGAGTGAGCAGCCCTTCTTCACCGTCTCTGTCTTCCTGGAACTCTCAGTATTACTGCGTCTGTTCTGTCCTTGTGCTGGGAACTGGTCCAAATCCAGGGTCTGGGCCTGCCAGGGTTTGGTGGGGGCTGGGCTTGCAAGACCCTCCTCTGTGGTTTAATATCTGTTGTGGATCTCTTTATTGGAGTCAGTTTGGTCTGGAATCCAGTGGAAAGCAGACAAAGTAGCTCTGACTCCCCTCCACCCCTGCCTGGCCAGGCTCCACAGGGCAGTTTCAGGGCACAGGAGGCAAGGGTTGAGCAACACACCTCGTGGCCAATGTGGCCAAGGAGTATGCAGTTTTCCCAGTCGAGGGGGAAGCAAGTGGGCGGAGAGAAGGAAGCTTTCTGGTGAGCCCTGGGAAGCTGGCCATCGGGACAGCATTAACCCCCTGCCGTTATATAGCGAGAGAGGACCAAGCCAGGCGTGTCCTTCAAGGGGAAGACCCTGGAATTTGCAGAAAGAAGAGGGGAGACCTCCAAGTAAATGGACTTAGGGCTAAAACAGAAGTGGGCACCATAGGCTATGCCTGTTGAGGGTCCTGACCGCTCCTCAAGCTGGTCCTTGGAGTGAGTTGTTAATTTCAAAGCTGCCGTTGAGGTCCCCGACCTCAAACAGGTGCACCCAATGGAACACGTGGCACCTAGTACAGGAGGCACATTTGAGTCCAGCAGGACCACTTCCTGGCTGTGAGCCTTCCACATTGTAGAATATGAAGAACGTCGGTAATTGCCTCAGGAAGTCATTAAGAGGGTTAAATGAGAAGAGGTATGTAAAACACGTAGCACATAGTACGTGTTCAGAAAACAATCGCCATATCTAGTGAAGATCAGCCACTTCAAGCTATGGCGCTGATTTTTAACTGATAACTGCCAACACTATTGAATGCCCGTTTTACAAATCTCACTTCAGTTAACCCTCATTATAGAAGAGGCTATTGTTGTGCCCATTTTACAGATGAGGACAATGAGGCTCAGTCTTTTCTAACCGGCTCTTGGTCTGCAATCTGAGGGCCTTTTTCAGCCTTCTTTACTTCTTTGCAGCTGGTGAAATAAGAGTCTATGTAGTAAGAAAAATAACAACCTCCTCTGCCCTCTAGCCTTTCTCCCCTTGCCCCCCAAGGTAAGCCATGTGAGCAAGCTCAGGCACCTATTTAATGACACCTGCAGGTTTAAAATAAATGGAGGAGGGAGTATTCTTTGTTTTCCTATTAAAAAAAGGGGGGGGATTCTATCACATAGATTCCTCTGAAGTTTGCTTGAAACACATAGACATTCTGCAAGCAGAAAGGTACAGACCCAATGCAGTTACTGTAATAGCTTCATGACCTGCCACTGGATGGACGGGCGGGCCTCCATTAGGTGTGACTGTGCCATACTTTGACCAACTGGAACTCTCATGGTGGACGTGCACACACATGGTTTCTAGGGTGCTTTGTTGTGTGTGTGTATTTTACCACAAAACGGCTGCAATGGAAATCATTGTACCTGTATACTCAGATATTTGTGAATGAATGGACTGCTGGACAAATGGATGTTTGGGTTTGTGTCTCCGTGCCTGCTCCTGGACCGCGCCCAATGCAGGTAGGCCGTTTGCTCATCTCAGGCTCCTTCCCTGTTTAGTAGTGGACAGGGCCTCTTGGTGAGTTACAGAGCAACCTTTTTGATCCCTGGTCACCATTCCAGGCCCTGAAGTCTTCCCGGGTCTCAGGGCTGGCCCCCTGGCCTCAGACAAGGCTGCAAGGATGCCCAGGCCTGGCAGGAGGCTCCTTGTGGATCAGGGATAGGAGACAGGATGTGACCCTCCAAGAAGCCTTGTCTTACTGCTCCACAGATTCAGAGGAAAATGAGTCGGATTTGTGCTTTGACTGGGAGCCATGGAGCAAAGGCCCAGCCGAGTGGGACAGTACACTCCAGAGCCAAGAGGAGGAGAGGCCCGGCCAGTGAGCCAGTTCTGCCAGGTGAGGCCCTTTTTGGGAGGTGGCGGGGGGAGGAGGGGGAGGGCGGCCTCAGAGACTGTCCACAGCCTCGGGCACCTGCCAGATGGACAGCTGACTCCCTCCACCATTGCAGAGCTTGCCATCTCTGCCGCGTCGGAGAACCTTCTGCCTCATTGTGTGGGAGACCTGTTCTTGTCATGTGGGAGCCACCTTACAAAGGTCCCCCACCCTTTGCTTCTTGGCCTCACCTCCTGCAACTCTCCCTGGGGGCTTTGCCCTGGCTGTTGCCTCCGCCTGGAACCCTTCTCCCCTAGACATCCCCATGGTGCACTCCCTCACCTCGGAGGTTTTGCTCAAATTCACTCTCTCAGCAGGGTCCCCCCGACTGCCCTCCTTATTACAGACATCTCTCCCAGCTTCACGGCCCCCCTGCTCTGCTTCCCCTTATCTTTTGCCACAGTGGGGGCTCAATGGATGTTTGTAGGAGGGATAAAATAATACTGATGATAATGCCAGCTGGTTCTCCTTGGGGACCAGGCCTGTGCTGAGCATTTCCCTCTCACATGTGCATTTATGAAAGCCCACAAGGAGGATGGTGTATTGGTGTCCATTTTACAATCGAGGACGCAGGGCAGCAGTGCTGCAGGTAACGTGCCCAGCGTGAAGGAGCCCCCCAGCTGTGCACACCAGGCGGCCTCATCCAATCCAATGGGGCTAAACGCCATCTCCCCGCCAGGGACCCCAAATGTGTGTATCTCGCCTAGCCTTCCTTCTGAGGATGGGATGGCTTATTCCCTTTGCTAAACCCAACAAAGCAAAACCCAACACGTGACCTGCTAACTTCGCTCCATCCGCATGAACAGCACTCCCATTGCTGGTCTGGCTGCAGGAGCCCCATGCTGGGGGTCAGCCTCATGGCTCTCTTTGCCTCCCACCCCACATGCAGCCCACCCCATCCTCCATCTCTTTCATTATCTCTCTCTTCCCCTGGCCATCAGGGCCTGCCCTCCTCCGAAGTCTGCCCCTGCAACATGTCACTACCCCCTACTCTGCCCCGTGGGTCACAACCTGGAGCCCCTGACAGTCCGAGTGGAGGAAGGAGGTGGGGCTGAGAGGCAGGGACCCTCATGTGCCCTCAGTTACAGTGATTCTTAGCCTTCCCGGGTCACGACCTTGATAGTTGAGGCCCCTTTCCCCACAGTCCTGTGCATGGGGCCAACTTCACGGGGTGTGACTTGTGTGGGCACATGAGGTCCCATGTTCAGCAGAGCCCATCTTGGTATAATGCTTGGCTGTTGCTGTCTTGAAATTTTTAATAATCTTTAACAAGGAGCCCATGTGCTCATTATTCATGAGCCCCACAAATTATGTAGCCTGTCTTGTTTGCATACAGTTAGTGGGGTAAGAAAAGGAGATAGTCAAACTCTGCTCGGGGACCCTGTCCATTTACACAGAGCACTTCCCACCCCTCCCCTACCCCCCAATATCTGTCCCTCTCTCACTCTCATTCCATTGTCATCCCTAGACCCAACCTGCCAGTTGCTCCCAGCTTGGTTTTCCTGGAGTCCACTGGGCAGTGGCAATGGCCGAAGTGGATGGGAGAGACTCGCCAAGGAGGGGAGAGGACTTCAGCGACTGAGGCGCTTTTCTGGGCCGCCCACCTCGTTCCCTCCAAAGTCTCCGGAGGACCCCCAGGTCTCGGGGAAGAGCCCGCAGCTGTGAGGATGGTATAAGCAGTCACACGGGGGAAGTTGGCCAAATGAATTGAGAAGAGGTCCTCGGGCAGGGCTGGGCCTGAGCGTGTGGGTCCATATTAAAGGCAACAAGGGCTGCCTGAGCTCAGGAGACCCTGATGCGCGTTCTGGGCCTGACCAAGTCCATTCATTCACAAGCTGTGGGGCCTGGGCCTCCCTGGCCCCGACCTGGGCCTCCTGACCCCATTTGGGAACCCGGACCCTCCTTCCCGTCTGTTCAAAGGGCTGGGGGATCTTGCTCTGAACCTCCATTGTCTCATTTCAGACTCACTCCTCAGTTAGCCTTCAGGCTGCTTTTAACAACATTGACTTTATAAACATCTTCAGAGTGTCTTCCATACACCTGGTTGTTTTAAGAAGAGCTCACATTTAATGAGTGCTTACTATGTCCCAGCGCTTTCCTGTGTACTTCACACACATTGTTTTTAACCCTCACAAGAATTATATCAGATGGGGAAACTTGTTGAATTGCAATGGTGGAGTTGGGATGTGAACCTAAGCCCTGCGGCTCCAAGCTGGCTCTGGCCCACTGGGCCGATGGTTCACCAGGTTGGAGTGTTGGGGGCAGTCATGGGGAGGCACTTGGAAGAAATCCCAATCTGTCCTTGTACCCCCACCAGCCCCCCAGAGGCAGCAAGGGTGGGTGGGCTGTAGAGGGGACAGGCCTTACTGAGTCTCACCAGGTGTCACCTTTGTCCCC